TGTTGTTGTTGTTGTTGTTGTTGTCGTTGTAGTTGTTGTTGTTGTTGTTGTTGTTGTTGTTGTTGTTGTTGTTGTTGTTGTTGTTGTTGTTGTTAGTGTTGTTGTTGTTGTCGTTATTGTTGTTGTTGTTGTTGTTGTTGTTGTTGTTGTTGTTGTTGTTGTTGTTGTTGTTGTTGTTGTTGTTGTTTGTTGTTGTTGTTGTTGTTGTTGTTGTTGAACATTATTTATTCTAAAGAATAATTATTGTTGGGCCCCCTGGTGCGCGCCCCCCCTGCGCCGCCTAGGCCGCAGCTACATTTTCATCATTTTCGTGAGGAAGCCTCAGGTAAAACGATGTGATCCAGATCCGGTTGTTTTGTTGTAATCCGTTTTCCCTTGCAAAAAACACTATAAAATGACATTTCTTGTTCTAATATAATCAAATTTCAAGAATCCCTTGCAAAAAATAAGGTAAAGTGGACATTCGCGCGCGCAAGACGAAATCCTTCCAAAAGCTTAGTGTTCGGAACGATTTTAACATAAAAACATCAAAAAACCAATGGTTTTTCAACAAAAAAATGTCAAAATCTCATCCCGCGCGCTCTTGCGGATTCGTAGGAAACCCAACACTTTTTAAACATTTCTGTCAAACGGGCTTTTGCGAGCAACTTTTTCGAACTTCTGCGACAACGGTTGCGCACCTGCCAGGGCCATCATCCCTGTCAAATAATACCATGCGGGACACATTCGTTTTTTCTTCGCGCGCGCACGCCGTCGTCGTCGGCCGCGGGGCCCTGAATAGTAGCCACGGTCGTCCGCATGCCACGAAGTGAAGTGTCCGAACGTCATAGGGCGGGAAGCTGGGTGTGGGTGGTGGCGAAGAGTCGTTTGGAAATTTGGTAGAGCTTGAACCGGCCCCCCCACAAAGTGGGGGTATTGCCCGCCTCCTATGAAAACCCTGGCACTGGTGAGAACGGAGTGTCCCCACGTGCTAGTAATTGTTGTTGTTGTTGTTGTTGTTTGTTGTTTGTTGTTGTTGTTGTGTTGTGTGTTTGTTGTTTGTTGTTGTGTGTTGTGTTGTTGTTGTTTGTTGTTTGTTGTTTGTTGTTTGTTGTTTGTTGTTGTCGTCGTCCCACCCGCGACCCGCCCCGCGACCCACCCGCGACCCACCCCGCGACCCACCCGCGACCCACCCCGCGACCCACCCGCGACCCTCCCCGCGACCCACCCGCGACCAACCCGCGACCCACCCGCGGCCCACTCCGCGACCCGCCCGCGACCCACCCCGAGACCCCCCCGGCGACCCACCCGCGACCCACCGGCGACCCACCCGCGACTCACCCGCGACCCACCCGCGACCCACCCGCGACCCACCCGCGACCCACCGGCGACCCACCGCGACCCACCCGCGACCCACCCGCGACCCAACCCGCGACCC